TTTGTGATAGTATATTTTTTTAATGTAAGTGTGTTGGAATACAATGTTCAAGTATTTTGTGCGGCAACTACACCAGTATTCAGTAGAGAAATATTCTTCAACCAGCAGATGGCAGTGTTTATAGGTTTGTAGCTGCATCTATGATAAACTCTATGTCTTTTCTCTAAAATAAAGTTTCCTGTTTCCTGTTTGCAGAGAAGCAGCAGATAAACACATGTGGACTGCGCACTGTCTGTTCTGTAGGGCTATATACTGTACAGAATCTCCAACAAAGTGAAATTCCTTTCAAAAGGAATCCTTAAGTGTAATAGAGGCTGCCATAGCTCAATCACTGGCTGTCATGCTGACCATCTTGCCACATCACCTGGAATTACTAAGCCAGAACAAGTAGAAGCATAATATCCCCTGACTTGACTTTGATTTTTCGTTTTCCTTAACGTTTCCTGTATACTTGTGACTCCATGCACTAAAAGCAGAGGGTTGATATAGTGGTGGTCAGCAGCAGAAGCCCCTATATTTCTCTTTTAAAAATTTACATTTAGTATGATCTTATTTTACTCCAGCGGGTAGAAAAATTGTTATTAGACACAGTACTTCATTTAGTTATTTTTTTTGGAACGCTAACAATTTTTGGCCTTAGGCTGTATTGAGATATGAGCAGCACAGAAAACTGGTCTCCACTAGAATGACATTCTGTGCTCTTCACAGTCAAAGCACTGTTGTGCATGCTTCTTACAAATATGGATGATGTGTCATTTTATTTCAGCACATTCTTCAGATATAAATACTGCATGATATCACTGGTTGTCAGTGGGTCATAATTATCTTAATTCTAAACATGGAGACTATGACAAGACATAGGGTTCAGTCAAGTCTAAAATCTAAATGTATAAAACTAATGTAGTAAACTATTTAAAAGATAGGTAGTTTATGCAAACCCAATCAGTAAAATCATATATAAGCTTTAACATAATAATATAATTTAAAAATCCATGTTCCATATTTTTAAATGTGCATCTTACATGAACACCTGCTGATCCTGCAATTCAGGTCCTTGTGGTCAGGCTTCCTATCATAGGATGACAACATAAAAGAAAATGCAGCATAAAGAGACTGCTGCTCTCGAAATAAGCACAGACTAAAGTTAAAGGAAAAAAACTAAATGATAAGAACAAAATAAATGCAAGGTAATGTTCCACACCACTGCACTTCACAGAGATAAATCAGTTTTCTTACATACAGTATGTAACTTTGATTGTAGCTGACAACTGCTGTGTAACCTCTTCCTTTGTTGCTGCTGTGTTTTCCTTCTGCAGTGTGGACAGGGTTAAATAGAATATTCATTAATGCAGAAGTGAAGCAGTCATCTTTAAGGAGACCACTTTGCAATGATCGTCTATGTAATGTCACCAGTTCAAGGGGCAGCCATCTCGGTTGGGTCTGGATTGGTCCTGGAGGACAGTGGTTAGCTGATGCAATAAAGTAAGGAGAAGTGTGTCTACAGACTGCTGAGGGGAAAAGAGAAGACAGTCTTAAAGTTAGCAGGGGTGTTAGAAAAGACTGGGCTGCTTCTTCTGGCTGAATGGAACACTGCCATAGCTGACCACAATTGGGAGAGACTGCTCATCACATTGGACCTTGCCTCAGAAATGGGAACAGGAGAGATGGCCAATGAGAACTTTGGCATCCATTTTACTTGTAGTCATCCATTAGATGAGTGAATACTATTTCCAGGATTTTGGGGATAGAACAGTGATGATCATTGTAACTTGAAATTACAGTATCTGCAGCTATATTATAAAATCAGGCAGGGCCTACATATAGTTGTATATATACAACTAAGATTAGGGGTTTGATTTACTAAAGGTAAATAGGCTTTCCACTTTGCAAGTGAACTTTTCCCACAGTTTAGCGAATGAGATGAAGCTCTGCTGACTTCCGTCATCCAATTATGTGCAAGTAGAAATGCTGTTTTTTATTTTTCTTGTATGTGATTGGGTATTCTTTGCAAAGTGAAATCTCACTACATTCACTAAGCTCTGGGGGACATTTTCCTTAGACTGTGCAACTTCCCATTTAAAATGAACACCCTAGTTGCCTTTGATAAATCAATCTCTAGGACTATTGCCTGGTGTATTGCTAGTCGTAAAAATTATGCATGTGCATTTAACACCCATATACCACTGAATGTAAGCAGATGTCTCCATTAAGCAATGGATGGTACTAAAATGATCTCATTGTTTCCAGAATATAAATGTGACTTTTGACTGACATGTTAATATACAGCCATGACCCTGAATCTCACATATTGCTTTTGACCATTTCAAATTCTCACAGGACTTTCCCAGGACGAGGATCAGACTGGTCTGGATAGCAGAGGTGAATATCCTGTTCATATGCTTGATCACATGTGTCTGGGAATGCTTTGCTTATCTCCGTGATCTTGGGCTGCTGAGAGGCCATGGAGCAATGTAGGAGAATCACTTGGTGCTGAAAGGAGACTCCTTTTGCTATTCTTACAGGAATATTTCATATGAATGAGATGTAGACAATACCAAAAAAAAGCCCCAGGGCTTTATAATGGACCTTCTCCAAGGAAATGTCAGACCTAAAGCTGTACTTTGTTGTTTTCAACACATTTAATGGGAAGCAGTTAACTTTAGGCCTCTTTCACATGGATGTATGGACCTGTACACCAGTGCAAGTTTACCTGCCCAGGAGGCACTGGTAGTCCATGCGGCTGCATGCAACCAGCCTGTTTAAGTCAAGGACAAGCGGATGGCTGCATGGATCTTCATGCACATCCCTGCTTGTAAATGCGTGCAGAACCAATGCACAGCTGAGAAGGTAGGCAGACTATGTGCACAGCCGTGGATTAGTCCCAAACATAGGTATTCTCAGGAATGTAGATCCTGAAGACCTGAACAGTCATTGATTTGAACAGGCTGACTGCACGTGACTGAGCAGACCCAGACAGATAAACACAGCCCTCTGCACGGGTGTACTGATCATTGCATCTGCTTGAACGAGCCCTTACTAATTTATTTTGCTATTCCTCTGAAAGTGGTTGGTTTAATGTGAATAACCTTTTCAATGTCACAACCATCTTGAAACGAGAGTAAAAAAAGTATCACTTTGATCTCAAAGTAGCGCTGTAATATACCCTTACGACAAAACCTCAGTACCATTAAAGTGCATAGTGTACAGTGCATGGAGAAAAAGTCCATACAACCTCCATTAATAGTGCAGAAAAAAGTAACTGCAACCACCAGGAATTTTCTTTAGTCAGTAGTTGTGCACATGAGATACCTCCACCTAAAGGAAGAAACTCACATGATCAATATGCCACCCATTCTCATGACTGGCATACAGTGCTTGTGTGAATTCACAAAAATTCCTTGGATGAATCGCCACTGGGTCACTCCTCCAGCCAACTCCTAAAAAACCAAATAGCATAAGGAAGAAAAAGAAAGAGCCCCCCATAGTGTAGTAAAACCATCAACATTTGTCTTTATTATTAAAATGTCACTTACAAGGATAAAATAAGACTCACCTCCCATTTAAAGTAGTATCATGCAGCAGTGTATAGTGGTCACACAGGTCTCTCACCACATCCGAACACTGCGGTCACCTCTGCCACATCACGCCCAGTTCCAACGCTGACATCACTTCCCATGCCACGACACAATGTGTTTCGTGTGGAATAGATTCCCTCAAAAGTTGGTTCTGGGCAGCTCAGTGGATTGCTTTAAAAGAAAGGCCTGGATTCTTTCCTAGATACACAGAATATAACTGGATACTAACATTTAAAGGTAAAGTTGATCCAGGGAATATCCGATTGCCTCTCGGGGGATCAGGAAGGAATTTTTTCCCTGCAGGAGCAAATTGGATCATGCTTTGCTGGGGTTTTTTTTTTGCCTTCCTCTGGATCAACTGTGGGTATAGGATTATAACTTTTTTTTTTTCTTTTTAATGGTTGAACTGGATGGACATTTGTCTTTTTTCAGCCAGACTATCTAACTTTGTCCTTCTGACTTTGTCACAGGGGCTCCTTATCAATGTGTGTTATTGTTTTAAAAACTTTACCTTTGGCTATGGTCTCTAATCCTAATGTATTTGGGAGCAGCCATGTTTGCTCTTACACAGGCTCTGCTTTCCCCTATCCCTTTTCTTGAATGCGCTAATGACTAGAGAATAGTGTAGTGACTGGTGAGTGTTATTGTGGGCTTGTGCTTTGAATGCAGTTATTCAGAACTACACAAACTACCAGTTACTTTGGTAGTCTCTCTCCTCCGAAACTGCAGGCAGCAGACGGGTTTGGGCTCAGTAGCTCTTTTTTCAGTACAAAGAACATTGCAGAGGAGAGCAGTGGAGGCACAAAGTTGCTGCATGATTAGTTAAGATGCAGATGTTCCATCTTGACAGTTTGGGAGAAGGCAAGGTTTGCGTGGGCTCTGTGAGCACATCTGACATGCCCCCTCTCATTCTGTACAGTCAATCACAGCTAATTATAGATTTGACTTATTCAACCAGGGTGGTCAAATAGCTGTTGGAGAAAGGGGGGCGAGCTGTCTGCCTATGACTAAGTCTCAGTCCAGTATGACTCACTGAAAACATAGAGCAGCGGTCACTAAATGGCGGACTATGGTCCAAGAATGGCTTAAGCAGCATTCCCGCCGGGACCGCCAGTCCGCCAGACTGGAATGACAGAACCGCTGCTCAGCAGGGCGGTCGTCCAACCAACTGGTGACATCATGTGTGCACCCCGCCTCTTGCAGCTCACTGTTTCTCCCGGCTCCCGCTCCCTGCCTGTCCGCAAGCAAGGATCCCGGCAAGCTCCTGCCTCCTGCTCCTGTCTGCCCTCAAGGTAGGGTATGTTCTTTCAGGGGGACTCTGATGGATAAATTTATGTTAAGGAGCATTCTGATAGGCACATTTAATGTTAAAGGGTAATGCTGATGGGCACATTTAATGTTAAGGGGCACTCTGATGGGCACATTTAATGTTAAAGGGTAATGCTGATGGGCACATTTAATGTTAAGGGGCACTCTGATGGGCACAACGTAGAATGTGCCCATCAGAGTGCCCCTTAACATAAAATGTGCCCATCAGAGTGCCCCTTAATATAAATGTGCCCATCAGAGTGCCCCTTAATATAAATGTGCCCATCAGAGTGCCCCTTAATATAAATGTACCCATCAGCATGCTGCTTATTTTATGTTAAGGGGGCACTCTAATGGGCACATGTTATGTTAAGGGGGCACATACTGTGGAAAGGGGCACTCTAATGGGCACGTGATGGAAAGGGGCACTCTGATGGGAAATATGATGGAAAGGGGTACTTTCAGTGTAAGGGGGCACTCTGACGGGAATACCTGATGTAAGGTGGCACTGTGATGGGGATACCTGATGTAAAGGGGCACTCTGATGGGGACAACTGATGTAAAGGAGCACTCTGATGGGCACACCTGATGTGATGAGGGTACATGATGTAAAGTTGCACTCTGATGGTGACACCTAATGTAAGGGGGCACGCTGATGGGCACACCCTATGTAAGGTGTCTCCATGACGGGGGAACCTAATATAATGGGGCATTCTAATGGGGACAACTGATGTAAGGGGGCACACTGATGGGAGACACCAAACGTAAGGGGGCGTTCTTAAGCAGACACCTGATGTAAGGGGGCATTCTGATGGGAATGCCCGATGTATAAGGGCACTCTGATGGGAACACATTACTTAAGGGGACGCTCTGATGGGGACGCCTGATATAGGGGGGTACTCTGACAGTGGCAAATGATTTATGGAGGAAGTCTGATAGTGGCACCCAATATAATAAATTATACTGGAGGGGGAACCTGATGTAAGGGGGAACACTAATGGGGACATTTATTTTTGGACCTTGGCCAGAAGATTTTAGTGACCAGACCTCCTTAAATTTTAATTCAATACCCCTGGCATAGACCCTTACCTTGTAAATTTGACCTTGAAGACTGTAGATATGAAGCCCTATCTCCAACCTGAAAGTTCTTCTCCGTTGGATGGGAATATCAAGAGGGAGCCAAAGAAAAAGAAGGTCCTCAGTTCCAACAGACACCACACTGTCCCCCATCATTCTGTGCCCGAGGAAGGGGTAAGGGAATTGCAGCAGATTATTAATAGATTTTGTTGGATGGGTCATATCTATTAAACAATGGGGAGAGCATCCATTAACCTGGTGTGAAATGCTACCAAACATAACATTTTTTTTTTCAGTTATTAAAAACATCAAACATAAACAGAAAAAATAGTCAGGTCCAAAAATACCATGTGAGCAGCATATTATAATCCAACATACTTCCATCTCAATCAGTAGGGCTGTTGCTGGGCAAAATCTTTTATTTTTCATATCCTCCAGCCAGGAGCGGACTGACAACTCATGGGGCCCCCGGGCAATAGGGGATCATGGGGCCCCTGTGTCCTTACCCACACCCAAAAAAAGCCTATGAAAAAGCCAATGAAAGGTACCAGGGGCATCTCCCCTACTGACCCCAGGCCCTCGGGCAGTGCCCGAGTGCTCGAATGGTCAGTCCGTCCCTGCTCCCAGCTGTCTGTATTCTGTAGAGAGTTCCAATTTTTAGACCCCCAAAATCAATTCAAATAAATAAATGGGCTTTCCCCAAGCAAGGATTGAGATGTCTCACTGTTAGATTTTCAAATGTTCTGCATGGCAAATGAAGCAATGTTGTTAAGGATGAGGTTGGATATAGATTAGGCTGGGGGCACGGGGACATGTGCCCTACAGACCAGTACAAGTAATATATGTTCGACTGATGGCACTGAGTGAAAATACTACCCTATTCAGATCTTAATCAGGGCAGAACCTGTAGTCAGTGACAACTGCTGGGTGATAAACTGTATAGCTATTGTCTCTCTGTTAATACACTAACCATAACAATGCAATTAAATTCATTGGCTAACCCTTACTCCTACTACAATTAGGCTGCATTGCAAACCTTAGCTTAGGTAGTGATGCAGCAGGTAAAAGTGGTCTTTCCTGGAAGTCTACAAAAGTATCTGAGTATAGAGATGGCTGCAGATGCATCATCATTCCATTGCAGTGCATTTTCACATGAACCTTATTCCTGATATCCTCTATATTAGATTCCAGTACTAAGTTGTAAGTAACCTGCCAGAAGCTTCAGTAAATGTACTCTTGCAGATTGCTAGAAGAACACAGATGCAAACATAACAGCATCATTTCTGATTTATAGGAGTTGTGTATGTTTTCCACAAACCTGCTTTCTTATCAGTTTTTTGACAATATTCTGCATCTTCAATCACTCACTAGCACCCCCCTGAGTGTCCTTGGACTCCTGCGCCGCTGCTATTTGATTCTGTCCTTCACAATAGAGCACTAATAATAAAATATGGAGCACAAAAATCTTCTTTGCTGCCTTAAAAAAATTGAGACAAGTTCCAGGCATTGTTGTTACAATTACTCTACATTGCAGCGGGTATATTCTACAATTTCTCAAAAAAACTTCTTAGAGCAAAGATGTTTGGAATCTTTTTGCAAAGTTTCTGATTAATTTCAAGCCAAACTGTTGCAGTTAAATAGGTTTCTGTATACGCACACACTATATATATGTATATGAATTTAATGCTGAAATCAACATTTACATTCTTATGAAATAACACTACTAGACACCAACTAACCCCTTAACAAACTGCTATGTCAGAGCTGTTCAGTTGTTCGCCCATGGGACCTTTTTTTGTAGTCTGCAGGGTGGCAGCATAATGCTAAGTGCTGGAATGCTTTGTGTTCTGCAGAGTGATCTTTTACCTAACAATGAGAGAATAGTTCCAGCTCCAAATAGAGAGGCAGAGCAAGAATGTGTGTTAACATCAATGAAGGGGCTCATTTTACTCCTATTGGCGCCAAAAATGGGCCTTATTTCACTCCCACTGATACCAATAATGGGACTCATTTGACTCCTACAGAACCCAACAATGGGTGATGAAGGAAATATAACAGCAGTATACAGGTGACCATAAGAGCCTCTAACGATGGAGCTTCTTGGAAGAGTATTATCCCTTTTACATGCGTGTCTTGTCCTATGTAACGCTTAGCTCCAGAGAAGCCACAGTTTATTGGGTCCTCTGTTCCTGTACCAACAATTCTGCAAACAGCAGCACACACACTGACACGCCTGGTTGGATGGGGAATATTTAATGCAGATATTTAGGCAACACTTCAATGGTAAAAGGAATACAAAATAATGGCTATAATACAGTAAACAATCACACTATAGCAAAGAATATATATATACGTAACACATATAATAGCATATATACATACCGATCAGCCATACTTTTATGACCACCCACCTAATATTGAGCAGTTCCCCCTTTTGCTGCCAATAGAACCCCTTTTGCCACCAAAACAGCCTTGATACCCTTGATACATGGACTCCACTACACCTTTAAAAAGGTATGCTGTGTTATCTGGCACCGAACTATCAGTAGCAGATCCTTTAAGTCCTGTAAGTTGCGAGATGGGGCCTCCATGGATTGGACTTGTTTTTTTCCAGCACTTGTGACAAATGCTCGATTGGATTGAGATCTAGAGAATTTTGAGGCCAAGTCAACACCTCAAATTCATTGCTGTGGTCCTAAAAAAATTTTTGCAGTGTTGCATGACACATTGTCCTGCTGAAAGAGGCTACTGCCATCAGGGAATACCGTTTCCAAAAAGGGGAGTACTTGGTTGGCAAAACTGTTTAGGTAGGTGGTATGTGCCAAGTAACATCCACATGAATGGCAGGACCCAATGTTTCCCAGCAGAACATTGCCCAAAGCACCACATTACTGTCCTCTGGCTTACCTCAGTCTTATACTGCATCCTGGTACCATCTCTTCCCAAGGTAAGCAACACACACACACCCAGCCATTCACATGATGTAAAAGAAAATGTGATTCATCAGACCAGGCCACCTTCTTCCACTGCCCTGTGGTCCAGTTCTGATACTCAGGTGCCCATTGTAGGCTGTAGACATGGGTCAGCATGGACCGACCTGCTGCTACACAGTCCCATACACCAAAAACTGTGATGCCTATTTTTTCTGCTTTCAACACATCGACTTTAGCAACATGTTTTTTTGCTGCCTAATATATCCTACCAACTTTCGGATGCCATTGTTCTGAGATAACCAGTGTTATTCACTTGAACTGTCAGTGATCATATCAGTGATCATATGGGCCCAAACTTTTACATTGGAGTGCTCAGGTTAGTGTCCCTTTGATGTGGGTGGTAACAATATGTTACTTGCAGATAAATCTATTCCTGTAAGAGCTTATACAGATGCTAACACTATGCTGTTTATAATTAACTCTGTCCTTTGTTTTGGGTCAAAATGTAGTGTGGTTTTGGCCAGCAGCCTCTCACCAACTCCTATGTCAGCAGATGATCTCCCTGCAGCTGGTTAGTGTCTACAGCGTCCTTCCTTTTGGTTAAGCAGCAGACTCCACTAACATCCATGGATCTCTCCTAGGTCCCAAGCTGTCTGTTGATGTGCTAATCAGCTGCAGTGGTGAGCAGTCTGACACCAGCCAACTGTGCATAATGTCCTCCTTCAATGGCTTCCACACTTCTCCCCAGCCTAGAAAAAAACATCAAGAACAATAACCCTCTCTTTTCCCTAGAGTCTGCTGGGATCTTCAGGCCTCATTTTCCATACTATCAATCCAGTGCAGTCTAGGTGGGACTACACCTCCCACAATCTTAGCAGTCCACATGCTGTGTATATCCCATTGAGTAAAGGGCAGGTTCAACACTGGCTTCACATTAGTAGTCTTATCCCATGCTGTGTCTGTGTAAAAATCTCTTGTGAACACAAACAAGAACAGAAAGAGAACAGCAGACACAGTGAAACTGCAGCCACTCTTCTCCCTGTCAGCTGCTTGCAGGGGCTACACACCTGCTTTTATTACAATACGAATGGCCTGCTCTTTTGGCTTTTCCCATCATGTACGGGTCATGGGTGTTTCAAACAGCTTTGATGGAATATAGAAGAGGTGTTGATTTAGATGCAGCCCTTCACTTGTGAATACAAACATCATTGTGTTATATTAATAAATACATACATCACAATAAATTGATACAGAGAATAGATCCTGTTCACTGTTCTAATTTGTTCTAAGGAGTTTGAAACATAATGCAAATATAAAATCAAGTGCTGGGGTTGGCTGGGTTGATTTCAAAGGCATAGACAAACCATTTTGAACAAAATTACTTTTTATAATTTAAATCATAGGACTGGACTTAAAGGATAAGTTCACCTTTTAACAAAAAATAATAAATGCACATTTTTTGAAGGTAAAAAAATGTGCATTTATTATTTTTTGTTTCTGGAGCCTCTAAAGCAGCGGTTCTCAACCTGGGGGTCGCGACCCCTTTGGGGGTCGAACGACACTTTCACAGGGGTCGCCTAAAGACCATCGGAAAACACATATTTCCGATGGCCTTAGGAACCGAGACACCGCTCCTCTATCCGTCTCCAGGTGTGGGACGACATGCCGTCCCTCTCATCTGGACACACCCCCGGGATCAATCCTTCGGCGGTGATTGGCCGCCGGAACTGTAGCTCAGGAGAGGCACACAGGCGGCCAATCACCGGCGAGGAGGTGGAGCTTGGAGTGGAGGAGCCGAGCGGCACGGCGAAGATCGAGCGAGTGAAGAGGAGGAGAGCGGCCGGAGAAGGAAGACATCTGACCGGTAAGTGTCTGTACCATGGGAGAGGGAGAGAGCGAGCGAGCCCAGGCTGGAGCAGGGGTCAGCAAATAAGTATCATTGGTGTCAGTGGGAGGAATAGTGCCCCATCATTGGTGTCACTAATACCAATGATGGGGCACTATTCCTCCCCCCACTGACACCAACGATGGGGCACTATTCCTCGCCCCACTGACACCAACGATGGGGCACTATTCCTCCCCCCACTGACACCAACGATAGGGCACTATTCCTCCACCCCCACTGACACCAACGATGGGGCACTATTCCTCCCCCCACTGACACAACGATGGGGCACTATTCCTCCCCCCACTGAACCCCGGTCTGTACACCAACGATGGGGCACTATTCCTCCCCCCACTGACACCAACGATGGGGCACTATTCCTCCCCCCACTGACACCAACGATGGGGCACTATTCCTCCCCCCACTGACACCTAAGTTCTCTATTCCTCCCCCCACTGACACCAACGATGGGGCACTATTCCTCCCACTGATACCAATGATGGGGCACTATTCCTCCCACTGACACCAACGTTGGGGCACTATTCCTCCCACTGATACCAATGATGGGGCACTATTCCTCCCACTGATACCAGTGATGGGGCACTTTTCCTCCCACTGACATCAGTGATGGGAGACACTATTCCTCCCACTGACACCAGTGATGGGGCACTATTCCTCCCACTGACACCAATGATGGGGCAATATTCCCCACCACTGACACCAATGATGGGGCACTATTCCCCCCTACTGACACAAAATGATGGGGCACTATTACTCCCACTGACACCAATGATGGGGCACTATTCCCCCCACTGACACCTATGATGGGGCACTATTCCTCCCACTGACACCAATGATGGGGCACTATTCCTCCCACTGACACCAATGATGGGGCACTATTCCTCCCACTGACACCAATGATGGGGCACTATTCCCCCCACTGACACCTATGATGGGGCACTATTCCCCCCACTGACACCAGTGATGGGGCACTATTCCTCCCACTGACACCAATGATGGGGCACTATTCCTCCCACTGACACCAGTGATGGGACACTATTCCTCCCACTGACACCAGTGATGGGACACTATTTCCTCCCACTGACACCAGTGATGGGGCACTATTCCTCCCACTGACACCAGTGATGGGGCACTATTCCCCCCACTGACACCAATGATGGGGCACTATTCCTCCACTGACACCAATGATGGGGCAACTATTCCCCCCACTGACACCTATGATGGGGCACTATTCCTCCCACTGACACTTAATGATGGGGCACTATTCCCCCACTGACACCAATGAGGGGGCACTATTCCTCCCACTGACACCAATGATGGGGCACTATTCCTCCCACTGACACCAATGATGGGGCACTATTCCTCCCACTGACACCAATGATGGGGCACTATTCCTCCCACTGACACCAATGATGGGGCACTATTCCTCCCACTGACACCAATGATGGGGCACTATTCCTACCACTGACACCAATGATGGGGCACTATTCCTACCACTGACACCAATGATGGGGTACTATTCCTCCCATTGACATCAGTGATGGGACACTATTCCTCCCACTGACACCAATGACGTGGCACTACTCCTCCCACTGCAAAATTACAGTTATGAAGTAGCAACTAAAATAATTTTATGGTTGGGGGGGTCACCACAAACATGAGGAACTGTATTAAGGGGTCGCGGCATTAGAAAGGTTGAGAACCACTGCTCTAAAGCATTGCACATTGCACCAGTGATCAGTAGATCACTGGTGACATGCAGGTCTCCTGCAGACCTGTCAGTGTAAGTGTGTGAAGAGAAGATCCCCCTCTAGCTGTCACAATGGGGATCAGGAAGGGGGGGGTACAAGAGGTGGTCCATGTTACATGTTACACGTTACACCCTGAATATGGGTATAACATGTTACAAAATGTGAACTTATCCTTTAAAGCTGATTTCCAGCTTTTAGTGAAGTTTTTACGTCACTAATATATGCAGAGGCTCTCAGCGTTATATGGACTTTGTGTAGTCTCGGCTACATACAGTATAGGGCGCTGTGTTCTGGCCACCTCTCCGACTCAACCAGAGGAAGCTTTGTATTCATTCATAGAATACAAAGCTCCCTGTAATAGTGAAGGTGATAGTTCTTTTGGACCAGCTTGGTTCAAACTACTTAAACTTCAAGTGATATTAAAGGTTAGTTTGTTCTTGTTAAAATAACAAACACGTCATTACGTACATGCTCTGTGCGATGGTTTTGCACAGAGTAGCCCGGATTCTCCCAGCTTCTGAGATCCCTTGCCAGTGTTCTGGGCTCCACCTCCCCCTACCCCCACCGAGTGCACCCAGGGCAAGCTGCTTGTTTTAGGAGCACTCATGCATGCTTGCTCCCGAACCCCGGTCTGTATGTCCATAAGACACACAGAACAGGGCTCAGCCCCACCCCATTTGCTTCTCGTCACTGGCTCTGATTGACGGCAGCGAGCCAATGGCTCCCACTGCTGTAGCTGAGCCAATTAGAAGTAAGAGGGCCGAGAGAGCCTAGGTTCTCATGCACATCGCTGGATCAAGATCGGGCTCAGGTATATAATTTTGGGGGGGGGCTGTAGGGGAAGCTTCAAGAGGGTTTTTTTTACCTTACTGCCTAGAATACAGTAAGGTAAAAAAAAACTTATGCTTTTACCACCACCTTCCAATCAGTAAAAGCTTGAGATCAGCTTTAATAGAAAGGCACTTCCAGTTTCTTCCTTCAGCTAGGGGTTAATGAGTCTTCTCACACTTTTAGCCATTTCCATCAGCTGCAGGGTAACGAGTCTTCTCAGTTTCCTAGCTGCTCCCATCAGCTGTGGCCTAATGAGACTAGCGATATGCCTCCTAGCTGGATTGATCCTTTTAGCGCAGGAGGCGCCTTTTTCAAACCTCATCAACCTGTCCTTGTAAAAGCATTAGCTCCCGGACCCCTGTTTGGTTCCTTGCTTGACCCAGTTCTGCTATTATCTTGGATTCCCTAGTTGCTGACCTTTGATTTGTGCCCAAATTACTCTTTGCATTGCCATATGAACTTGACCTTGGATTGTTTACTGGAAAAAGCTTGCTTGCCACCAGCCCTGATCTTGGAACTGTTTTTGGACTGCACTTGCTTGCTACCAGTCCTGACCTTGGAACTGTTTTTGGACTATACTTGCTTGCTATCTGCCATGACTTTGGACTGTCCCAGGATTCTGCTACCAGTCTCTGCCTACTGCCTGTCCAGCCTTGGGACTACAGGTACCCTTCCTTGTCTCAGTGTTGTCTGGTTGGAACTATGGCATTGTATTCTAACACCTGAGAGTAACCATGAAGGCCTGCTTTCCTTAAGGAAACGGCTATGGTTCCTGACTTAGGCACTAAGCTGTGCATTACAATGAGGTTATGCTTTGCAGGATTTACAAAGTAATTTTTTTAGTATAAAGTAAGGGTCATGCACTTAATATTTGAATTTATAAAGTATCTATAGCTGCAGTATATGCATATTTTAGTGAAAGACATAATTTATATCCCTCTTTACTAAAAGTGCCATGCCCCTGATAATCAGAAATTGTAACCCCTCCTCTTCCCATTATATGGACATTGAATTGACATCGAATTATCATTTATAGACCTAATTGACTTTTGTTCCTTTAAGTGGAGGGAAGGATGAAACGCCAGATATTTATGAATTGGGTATTGTTCAACTCCCAAGCACAACAGCAAGAAAAAGATCACATGTAAGAGATACATTTTTTTTTTTAGCTCTGACCTTCCTCTTTAGTAGAAATCACATGACAGAATGCCTAGGCTTTTTGTGACATGACCAGCAAAGGAAAAAAAAAAAACCCTTGAATTTCAGCTAGTAGATGAGAGAGAGACAGAGAGATGAGTATTTCAGCCTTTTTTTATTCTTTTTCAATGCTAGCAAGACTCTTACCATATTGTAGCTTTATGATAACATCCTATTTAAAGTGTATAAACACTAGGGTGTATGTACCTGCGGACGTTCGTTTGACCCCTAAAGTGTAGATTGTTTGACTACTGTGATTGCTTGCCTACTATGCCCTGGTCTGCTTGAAAGAGGTGGTCTGAGGCACAATTAGGTAGGGCACAGTATGCACCTGTGTGTTCACTAACTTTTCCAGAGCACAGAACTAGAACACTGGAGCAGATTGATTTCATTTAGTTATTACAGTTATTTGTAAAGTGCTATGTAAACTGTCCTGTATAATAACAATAAAATAATTTGTATCAAATTAGTAAGAGTACAGATGACGTAAGCATATTCAGTCCCAGAACAATATGAGCAGAAGAAGTCTGCTCGGCCACGGCAACTGTCCCTAGAATTCACCCTAAATTTGTTTTATACAGGAACTTGACACCATTTGTTTTAATTGTACAGTAACTTGCAATAATAAAACTAGTAATATAGAAAGATAGGCACAGGAAGCCGTGGAATAGTATTCTATAACTCAGAACTGGCACTTACAATGAGTTCAGTGTACAGAGAAGCCCTGGATTATCAAAGCTAGTGCTTAGGGCTTGGGCGGGCTGCAGAACAAGAAATTGTTCTGGGCTTGTGATCTGGGTGCTGCCACTCCCATTGACGTTATACAGCATATAGGTCAGGCCCAAGCAATATGGGCTGCTGTGAAGAACACAAAATTAGAACAATAGTATCTTTCTAAGATTGTCACATGACCTACTTTCTGTTTAACAGAAGTTAATATATCTTACTATCTATAAGAAGAGCAGTTAACCACATACAGTGCCTATTGTCCAACATTCTGTTCTTTAGAAAAGCATGCAAATAGTATACACAGAATGACATGGGGGATTATTATAATGCTATGGCATTTTCTCTGCACTAGGTATTATTCTTTGATATTTGGCTTGGTTACTAAGAGAAATAATTCCATGTGTGTAACCAAAAATAACACCCCAAAATTATCTTTACTCAATGGAGAGACTTAGTCAAATGAGCCAGAAAACAATAATCTTGATAGCACACGTATGACTAAATCATGACTTGTTGGGGTTATGACCTGGTCAAATGGGGTACCTTTGTACTTCGGGTGGGTGGTTGTGGGTGAACATAATTATCCCACCTTGTATAAAAATCCTTATAAAGACTCAAGCGCTCAAGGTCCTTTTTGGGTTTATAGCTCCAAAAGTAACTAACCAAAGGAGAAAAAATTAAAAGTATGATTGTGTACCACTCAAGTATTTTTTAATAATGATCATATTTTCCGGATTTCCACATAAAACAATAGAATAAGTCATTAGTAACAGCCTAATATGACCCCGCTAATTACATAACTGTGCTTCTGGCATTCTGTTGAATTAGTAGGGACTAGTAGGACATGATGAAATCATAAGGGCATCGGAATAAAATTAGCTGACTTAATGATAGCAATAAAGAATTATCTGACAAACAATTTTTCTGAATTTTGTGTTCTAATGTTCTAACAAAAATCTAACCCTGTGTGTCCAGCTTAAAGTGGTTGTAAACCTCATAGATGAAATTGGAACAAAGTATATCTCTTTATAGTGCGTATGTGTCTCAATTAAGAGCATTAAAGTGTAATTTCTGTCTCCTGCTTCATTCCTCTGCTTACAGCTGACACCAAGAGAAAAATGATGACAGGGGAGGGACCTCCAGCAGACTGACAGCCTCAGGTCTGTTCCTAAGAGCTGTGTGGATGGGGTGTGTCTCTTCCCTCCAATCAGCTCTCAGAGCTCCCCTCACTGAGCTCTTTAGAGTGTAACTTCAGCTCTATGCCCCCTTTT